ATGAAAATCGTAATTTTCAACACAAATAATAATCTCGCTACCTTAAATACAAAAACACTGTTACACAGATGATCTCAGATGGCATCAATATCATTTAGCTGATATTTCAAGTACGATTACAAGGACGCTAACAGAGATAACAATACAAGAGTACTTTCCTAGTAAACGGGCAGGCTTGAGAACAAATAAACTAGTAAATGGCACTGCGGGTAAAAACACTAATTTAAATACAGCAAAGCTGGTTTAGATATTATCGATCATTGCGTCTTTGGAATGTGTGAATGATGACGTGAATTATTCAGCTCAGTCAGGTTGAAAGCTATCGATGTCTGAACACTACTTGCCGTTACCTCTTGACTACAATGTCTGAAAGGTGGTGGATTTCTCAACAAAACGAAATATAGTGATACCTCAAACACCTAGTACGCGTGCCAACGCTATGTGCAAAGACTGACACTGACAATTTCTGTAATTAAAAACATACATATGTTATTTTCTAGCGAATATCAAACCTGCGGAACCATAATACTTGTTTTTAAATGATTGAGTCACGCGACCGAGATTAGTATAAATTGTTGGCAAGGATATTTGATATAGATGAGAGTGTTGCTGAGTTACTCGATGTAACAGACGTATTTAATAGTGACGTATCTTTCATTCCTGCTCGCATTCTGTCATTAAGATCGTAATTTTATTGGTTTTGCCGCTCGACTAATGTCAGTTTAGCTTGAATAGAATTTGTCCGCAGATATTTTTCATGCATATCTTGTCACAGGTCTGAGGGAAGCAGTCGCATTCCTGCTTAGAATGAAATCATGCTAATGTGATGATTTATATTTTCATGTATTTCGGTGAGACCGCTTTTTGCAGTAATAGCGACTTTCACTGATGACCCCTGGATGGCAAGACCTGCTCGTGACTTGTCATGATCAGGTTCATTCGTATGATAGAGAATTAGTGATTGGAACAACCGCCTGATATAATGGTCGACTATGAAGTGTTGTTTTAGCTCTTGTGGTGACGATAAGTATGTATAAGTAGTCTCGAGAGATTCTTGATACGGCCGTGAGAGAGCAACAACGCGGCTGAGATCAAATGTGACACGATTCGATTCTCTGTGTGTCTTTGATCGATAGAAAGGTGGAGAATTCCCCGAACTTGGTACCTCTGAAGTGAAGGTTAATAAAACTACATTTAATCGCTCACACGTAAGTGGAGAGCCCGGGCATGTGTTTAACACACCTCGATATCCTGTGCAGAACAGTATAATAACTAAGAAACGCCCGAAAGTGTGTTTTAGGCGAACGGCAGAGACGACACTGTGTTCGACTAACGCCTTTACCCGGATGACACCGATACACGACGTTGAAGAGATGAAGACTTTGGAACCCCTTAGAAAAGACGGGTATCGAATAGGACTGTATAATCAAGGCGAATTAAGCGATATTAAAGACAAGATGATGAAAAAGAACGATCCGGACGAACGAAACGAAAGGAGAAGACGCTATAGAGACTTTGAATTAGAGCTTTAGCTATTTGTGTACCGCCTGATGGACACTGTAGCGGACACTGTAACTTAAGACTTTGAACTCTTTTTTCAGAATCCCGACTCTTTTGCTTAGTAATGTAACGTATTTCTTGCTTTCTATTGACGTTTTTTTGAACGTTTTTTTTTGTGATATTGAATTGTATGTATGTGAGCGACCAGATCTTGTTTTGAACTGATATTTAGTGACGTGCGAGGTCCTTTATACCGATTTAAGCGTTTCAGTAGACAAAGTATTTGCAACACAGTGTTATGAGTTTTGTGAAGGTTTATGGTGTTTTAATGAGTTTATGAGTAAGGAATGTGATGGGAAGAATGATGCCCCACATGAGTTTTCAGAGTTTTAAGAGTTGTCATGTACAGAGTTACTGACGTTTTAAGAGTATCAATGTTCAGAATAATCGATTTGTACGTGTTGTTTCGGAATAATTCTGACGCTTTGTGAGTTGATTTGAGTTGAGAGCACTTTCGTAACGTTTTTGATGTCTTTTTGAAATAAGTGTGGTGCGCCCACGTACATATTGTTTGATGATCACAAGCTTTTGTTCATGATAGATAGTATTGTATGTAACTCAGTAGTGTTTTGTGATTTTAGATTTTTCTATCTTGGTTGTCGGAGGAGAAACGTGTTGTGTTAGCGACTTTATTTTCGCATTACAATCCGACGCCCTTAGTCTTTTTTTAGATTCAACGACTTCTATGTTCAGTTTGAAATTGATAAGCATATGTGACATGAGTTTGATTAATAGATTGTCTATTCATTGATTCGTGATGACCGCTTGCAATGCTTTAAACGAGAGACGCATCCCTGGTAATCACGTGATCATGCTGTCGTCTGCAGCTATTGGCTGATCGCATGGTTACACCGCCACGCCTTAGTTTTTTTGACCTTTTGATATAGAGTTTGTAACCTTAGTAACGGGAGACAGTGCAGCGAGGGCTTATGTCGGCGGACTGTTTTGAGAAAACGGGACGGTTTGAGCCTCTCCCTGATTTTTGTGACTTTTTAACCAATGTACTAAATCCTTGTTTTTACTCTTTTGATTTATACCTTTTATCAGTATTGTATCTAATGTTGTGTGAATGCTGATGTCTTTGATTTGTGAGGCATATGCTAAGAGGCATAATTCTAGTTTGTGTGTTGATTTATATTTTCATGTATTTCGGTGAGGCCGCTTTTTGCAGTAATAGCGACTTTCACTGATAACCCCTGGATGACCCACACCTGCTCGTGACTTGTCATGATCAGGTTCATTCGTATGTTAGGGGATTAGTGATTGGAACAACTGGCTGATATAATGGTCGACTATGAAGTGTTGTTTTAGCCCTTGTGGCGACGATAAGTATGAGAGTTATGTTCCGAATCGGGGGCAATTAATCTGACATTATGGCGTGTTGAGTACTTTGCGTGATTGGCTATATGTCTGAAGGCCCTGCCTTAGAGTCGTTTATCTTCTCTGTAATTTGTTAACAGTTGGAATGTGAATATTGCTGATCTCATTTAGTTGTGGCAAGCTCTCGACGAGGCGCAGTCTCGGCTGAGACCAAATGTGACTCGATTCGATTCTCTGTGCGTCTTTGTTCGATAAAAAGGTGGAGTATTCCCCGAACTTGTTACCTCTGAAGTAAGGTTAATAAGTACGATTTAATCGTTCACACTAAGATGTATCCAGCCAGTTTATGAAAACGGAAACTCAAAGAACTGTACCATCGGTAAGCCGGACAGTAATTGACGCTTCCAAATGTATTTCAAGATGTCACATTTCTTGAAAACTGTTGAAAATGTTGATGTATTCATGCGTGTTGTTCTTGTTTTGCATTTGTGTATTTGTATTGATTGATAGTCACTGCTGAAGTTCATTTATTGTTGATATCATTGGCTTACGGACGAATTCGCAAATTATATTATTATTGAGGAACTGATTAGAATATTTTGAATTCAAAATGTAATTAGCTAAGTTTAGGTTTTCTTCCATTAATATATTTGCAGAGATAACGTGTTCATATGCATATACTAATTATTGCATTGATTATTAATTTGAAATAAATTGAGATAATTTTTCTGTGTATGCTCCTGGTTCAGTAGCTTCTATTTCTGATGTTGGTGACTATATCAATGGAAAGTGAATACTTTTTCTGTTTCTGTTTTGACATCCATCACGACGAATTCACTTCTGCAACGTTACAAACTGTTTTTTAGGGCATGTTAAATTAGCATAACTAGCTATATTTTTAGCTTTGTGACGGCATGTTTGAAGGAATTGGCAGGTAGAATATGATCTCCAAAAATAAACGCAGTATTTTATAACATAATGATAAATATATGCTATTTAACTGCTATTGTAAAATAAAAAAAATATTTTAGAACATGTATTCTAAACAACAAATCAATATGAGAGGAATTATTACATGGGGTTTCGATGTGTATTTTGGTCTTTCTTGTGTAGGGCCCAAAATTCATATTGGACAGAATGCTTCCTGCTCCCTGAGCACCATTGTATACACCTTTCCTTACTATATTGAAGTACTAAAGCTAGTTCAAGCCAGGAACCCTTATTCTGGAGTCGTTTGTTAAAAATGCAATGGATAATGTGTAAAACACACAACATGAAAGCTGATATACATTACTGTCAACATATAATAATTTTATGCTCGATAAACCATGACAAGATATGCAATGTACAATCTCAATTCTGGTATGTTATGCTTCACATATGTATATCATACGTGGCAAATAAACGCAACTACATATCAATGATGCTTTAATGATTACATTGCATGTAATCGTCCAGTGGGGGGACGCTCAGATTCCATCCCAGTACTTCGTGCCACTCTGTCGTACAATCGCCCAATAGGGGGACGCTCAGATTCCATCCCAGTACTTCGTGCCACTCTGTCGTGCAATCGTCCAGTGGGGGGACGCTCAGATTCCATTCCAGCACTTCGTTCCACTCTGTCGTGTAATCGTCCAATAGGGGGACGCTCAGATTCCATCCCAGTACTTCGTGCCACTCTGTCGTGTAATCGTCCAATAGGGGGACGCTCTGATTCCATTCCAGCACTTCGTGCCACTTTGTCGTGTAATCGTCCAACAGGGGGACGCTCAGATTCCATCCCAGTACTTCGTCCACTCTGTCGTGTAATCGTCCAAAAGGGGGACGCTCAGATTCCATCCCAGTACTTCGTCCTCTGTCGTTTAATCGTCCAACAGGAGGACGCTCAGATTCCATCCCAGTACTTCGTGCCACTCTGTCGTAATCGTCCAACGGGGGACGCTCAGATTCCATCCCAGTACTTCGTGCCGCTCTGTCGTTTAATCGTCCAACAGGAGGACGCTCAGATTCCATCCCAGTACTTCGTGCCACTCTGTCGTTTAATCGTCCAACAGGAGGACGCTCAGACTCCATCCCAGTACTTCGTGCCACTCTGTCATGTAATCGTCCAACAGGGGGACGCTCAGATTCCATCCCAGTACTTCGTGCCGCTCTGTCGTTTAATCGTCCAACAGGGGGACGCTCAGATTCCATCCCAGTACTTCGTGCCACTCTGTCGTGTAATCGTCCAAAAGGGGGACGCTCAGATTCCATCCCAGTACTTCGTCCCTCTCTGTCGTTTAATCGTCCAACAGGAGGACGCTCAGACTCCATCCCAGTACTTCGTGCCACTCTGTCATGTAATCGTCCAACAGGGGGACGCTCAGATTCCATCCCAGTACTTCGTGCCGCTCTGTCGTTTAATCGTCCAACAGGAGGACGCTCAGACTCCATCCCAGTACTTCGTGCCACTCTGTCGTGCAATCGTCCAATAGGGGGACGCTCAGATTCCATCCCAGCACTTCGTTGTACCATGTCATGTACCCGTGCTTCAGGAGGAGTTTCAGTTTCACATACCAGTATCATTGTACCCAGCACAATGACTACCACCAATATATCATACTTCATTTTCATCATGATATTCTGTAAATGAAATAAAGTAATTCTTTACTCAATGGTTTGCATCTCATCACGTGCTCACATATTCGATATGTTCTTTTTTGTTATTGCCAAATAAACTCTAGTTAACCACTAGGACACACCATTAAACAAATGGTATGCAATAATTAGAACACATTATCAGGCAATAACTTATACAACCAGTGTACATGTATTACATTTCAATCAATGTGAGCGGACTACAGTAAATAAGTGATAAATTATTATTCAAAATTACTAAATAAAATACACAGAAAGATTTCGAGTAATAACCAAACATGTCGCTGTATTGCAGGACATACATTCATCTACTCCATATTTATGTAATTTCAATACGTTAAAAAAAGTTAAAACGAAATTATTATAAGACGTAACCATGAGGTATGTTTGGATTTTTACCCAAAACTGACCAAGTCTACGTTCATCATGAAGAATATATGTATCGGTCGGCGATAAAATTCGTGTATTCGGGAAAATATTTTATGTTCATGAGTGAGTTCTGATTAAAACCAGAAAGAAGAATTATGTTTTGTTGGCCCAAATAAACGCAGTTATTTTGTTTTGTTTTGTCTTGTTCATTTATGTCGTTGTTGTCAAATTTGTTTGCTTTGTGTTGTTGTGTTGATATGACTTTTCTATGTTAATTCATTTACGTAGTGACTAACGCTACGTGAGACAATTGTGCACGTGATTGGCTGTCCATATTATGTGCGAAAATGGTGGCTAGATACCGCGAAGCAGTATCCTATGTTTGGCTAATGAAAATAAAGCTGCACTAAAACATATCAATAGCCGAACATATAGTGCCAAACATAATATAGATCCAAATGTAATCATGTAATCTGCTGTAATAATACACGAGTGTATGTTATATAGCTAATTTCATGTTCACTCACATGCATGGTGTATTTGCTTAGATAACATATGGCAGATTTATACAAGGAGAACACAATAACAAAAATACTAAGACGTGTGCCGATAAGGAATCTTTCAACCATCCAATAAGCTGAATGATTCTGAGTATACCATTCACTGAGTTCGATAGTATATATTGTAACTTTATGTTTGTATTGTATTTCAAGTGTGACATACTAAATGTACTTACCGGTTATGTCTTGTTTGAAGTGAATACTTTTGCTGTGTATACACTATTCTGCACCAGACACAATGAATACACCTGCTCTATGACGTGGAAGGTAATGTTTTGCATATTTGAGAATATACGACGTGGCAGGTTTGCGAAAGTTACGGGTAGGATATATCAAACCAAAATATACACCGTATTTTGCATATTCCTGTATGGAAAGATAACTTTTTACTGGTAATGTAAAATAATAATCTTTGCAAAACAATAACGTAAAATACAATACCAAACATAACACGATGCATACATTTCTGCAACAAACTAGTCTTGTGGATGTTTTACATGTCTATGTGACTACATAGTTTTTAGTTTTGCGTAGACATGTTGAAAGAAATTACGGGACGAAAGTAAATGTTGTTATATCATTTCTGTATAACTTGGTAACAGGTGATTTTCCGTCCAACTGCAAAATCAAATGTGTACAGCACATT